TGTGTTCATCTCCACTGCCCATTTTTGGATTGGGTCTTTGAATTTGGAGGGGCTGAAATTTTTAAATTCTTTATATGTTCTAGATAGAAGCCCTTTGTCTGAGGGACGGAGGACACTTTTGTCTCGTAAACCACCAACCACTATTCAGGTGTCCCAAGAGTGACCTATTGATGTCAGAGAATCAAATATCTGTAGTTTTCTAAATATGCAGTCAGTAAACAGCCATGAAGTTTTATTATGCATGCGCAGACCACTGCTGCCGTCACTTTACCTCCACTCACATTTCCTGACCTGACACCTTCAACCACCCTGCTTCTGTATCCCAGAAATGCCACTTAATTCCGTCCTTGTAGAAGCAGATGTGAGACTCAAGCCTCTTATTTATATTATTTGGGTACCCTGTGAGTAAATTTTTTGCAGTGCTAGGGATAGAACCTAAGGCCTTGCATATATACTAGGCAAGTGCTCCCCAACTGATCTACAGCCCAGCCCTAAACTCTCTTTTGCAAAACTGTTCATTGTAGTTATGGGCATAATGAACAGTAGACAAAGGGAGAGTGGTTCAGGAACAGTGGCACTGAGGTTCCTTGTGCCCCTTCAACATGCATCTCTAAGACATGTTTTTGTGGGTATGAGAACAGAGTAGGAGCCCAAAGCAATTGCCTTCCTCTTTATCACATGAAATGAGGCTGAAGTGAGGCTGATAAGGAAGTGCTATTCTCACTAGTTCATGACTTCCTTACCCACCTGTGATATTATGATGGTGAATTTTGATATACATGTTCAGGTTTGACCATGGCTCCTAGCTAAAAACTCCTTCACCAAAGCAGGTCTTAGAAACTAGATTTTCCCCCCAGCATAGGTCATGGAAATGTTAATCTTCCTTCTCTTTTCTGTCTTGAACATAGCCATAAAGAAATTCTCAGCTGTGCATGGTAGCACATGCCTGTAATTCCGGCACTCTGGGAGGCTGAAGCAGGAGGATCAAAGTTCAAGTGCTCCCTGGCAACTCAGCAAGTTAGAGAGATCCCATCTAAAATAAAAAATATGGTAATTCAAGGACTGGCGATGTAGGTCAGTACAAAGGCCCTGGGTTCAACCCTCAGTACCACAGAAAGAAAAAGAAGAAAAAAAGATTATTTGACCTACTCCTGTCAGATCACAGGCCCTTCTCATTCTAAAGAAGTCCTGCCTTGTATCCTGGAGGAAGGAAAGCTACATAGGAGGCCCAAAATAACAAAAGGCCTTGTTGGACTTCCCCACTCATTCCATGGACAACCATATCTATGCAATGAAGTCTACATGTAATCCCAAAAAGAACAGTACTTCTTTCCTTATCTCTGGGACAGCAGGGCCTACAAGAGGATTACAGAGTTGCAAGGTGGCAGAGTGGGAGGCAGCAGAGAAAGAATCTCTCTGACTGCTGCCATCCAGATACTGGAATATAGCAACATAGGGAAGACAAGAAGGAGGGAAGTGGGTCTCCAGGATCCAGGAAGGAACTGAGGTGTGAATTGAAGACCACAGAGAGAGTGAAGAGAGAAATTTCAATGAAGAAGGAGGTACCCAAGGGTACGTTCTCTCTGAGACAGGATGTCCTGCATGAGAGGTGAAATTCAGACCTGTAGATACATGGCAAGTGCTGGTGATCCCAAAGGCCTCCACGAAGAGTCGAAGCAGTGAGGCAGAGCAGTGGACCTGAAGGACTGCATTAAACTGACAGTGAGTGCGGAGGGCTCAGTCTTTTCACGTGAGAGCGACTGGCCGGGAATCATTTTGGAGAGGGGCAGGCCAAGTCACTGCTGGCTCCAGCCAGTGGCTCCCAGCTGGGCTCAGGCCCACAGAAGGTACACTGATGACTACAGGCTGCCAGAAGGTGGAGGCTCACTGAGATTATTCACTACGTGCCAAAAAGCTACTGCAGGCTTGCTGGGATAAGTCAATATGGATCACGACTCTGTCACCATATGCTGTCTACCAGTGACAGCAGAGATAAACCTAGAAGTGGACCTTTCTCTCTTTATTGCTGTAGATTTTTTTTTTTTTTTT